TCCTTATTATAATTATAGTATAATGTGCCCCAAAACCCTATTCTAATTATCATGGCCCCTACATAACTTTTCTGTGGTTTGTGTAACAGTCCCCCGATACTGACTGCGTTATGGTCCTTGGGAGGTGTATTCAGGCGAGAGCCGCGCGTTGCTGGGAGGCTTACTTAAAGGATCATGGGACTTAGTAAGTAGGGCTATAATTAGGGTAACTATACTTATAACCCCAATTAAGGGACTTATAACCTTACTTACTAAGTCCCATGACCCTCCAAGTAGGTATACAGGTACAGAGGGTTGTTTAGGTAACTTCCCACTATCATAAGCCCAAAACCTGAAATCCTAAACCCAGAACCCTTAACCCTGTAGATCTACACTCCATTCCCTAAACCCACAACCCGAAGCCCTAAGCCTTCAGCACCTCTGAGGCCGGAGACTGGCAGGGCGCGCACCGCCTTTTCTGCCAGCGGGGCACCGGCGAGCCGCGGAATGCGGTCGTTTTGGGCGCTTCAATCGGTGCGTGCAAGCAGGCGGGTATGGGGTCTTAGGGCCTTTAGAGTTTAGGGTTTAGGGTTTAGGTTTAGGGTAGGGCCCGGTAGTGGTTCAGAACGATAGGAAGAGCCAAGTAAAGGATACTTAGGATGTGCGCTTGACGCAGATGGGGAAACCTTGAGGAACACTACCACCGACAATTCAGGCCGACACATGGGTAGTTGTCAAAATTATGGTCCTTTTTGGGGGACCCTAAATCATAGGTGCCGTATTATAATAATGGACCCAAAAAGGGACCATAATTTTGACAACCACCCACATGAAGGTTTCTTAGTGTTAGGGATCCTTCGGGTGGGAAAGCTGCTCGGGTTCAGGGTTCACGATTTAGGGTGCCGCGTTTTTTGAACGTTGAGGTCCAAGGTAAGCCCGAAGCCCACAACTAAAGTGCAACACATTTTTTTAAGTTGAGGCATGGCAAGGTCTAAACACTAGTTTAGGGTTTAGGGATTAGGGCCTTACCTAGACCCCCCCTAGACCTCCAAGAGTAGGTAAAAATACCGGCCCAACACCTATAAACGGCTATTCTTCTACATACTTTTGGGGTCCAGGAACCCTAAACCCTAAACCCTAAATCCAGGTAACTCTAAAACCTGAAGTGCTTGGAGTTTCCAGCCAGCTGAGTTTTGGCGTTTTTCTGGGGCAGGACGTTTGGCTGTCCAGTCATACAGGGTAAGGTAGGGGCCTAAATTATTTCCCATACTGTTTTGGGGGCCCCAAAACCCTATGTAGGGTTTAGGGTTTAGGGTTTAGGGTTTAGGGTTTAGGGGTTAGGGTTTAGGGTTTAGGGTTTAGGGTTTAGGGTTTAGGGTTTAGGGGTTCAGTCTGAGGCCCAAGCCATCATCAGTCATCCAGCTTTAGACACCCGAAACCTTGAAGCCTCGCAGCATTTTGGGGGTTGTCACACGAATCTTCACTATCCTTAGACGTGATTGCGAAGCAGGGGACTTCGTGCCTTTGGGCTTCCGGGTTTAGGGTGTATGGTTCAGGGGCTCATTCGCCTGGCGCGTTCGCTTGCGTGAATGCAACAAGATCAAAGCAGTCATCCAGGGCTTCTTGGCAGGATCATGCCACTACAAGGCCTTACTAACTGGAATAGGGCTTTCTGTACTAGCCCTGTTGCAGGGGAAGCATCAACTTGCGACTGAGCCCCTTAAGCCTCAAGATCTTAACGCATAAATGAAAGGATACCACAAACCACCACCCCAAACTGTGCACTCGGTGTAGTTAAAGCTTTGCGTGGCAAGATGTCGATTAGCGTAGAGGTTGGCCTGCTCAGCGGCAAGACAGTCACAGTGGACGCTGATTTGAATGAAGAAGTGGGAACAATGAAGCGTCGGGCACAGATCGCACTCGGAGTCGGAATGGGGCGGCTCGTGGGCTCATCCGGAAGCGTTCTAGATGCATGTGCACAGATCAAGCGTGCCCGGCTGCAGAATGGTGATTCTTTAACCCTGCATGTAAACAGAGTTACAGTTCAAAGCTGTCACGCAGCTTTTGCTGCAGTTGTTGGCGATGGATCGCTGGTGGCCTGGGGTAATGCCGACTCTGGTGGTGACAGTAGTGCCGTGCAGGATCAGCTGAAGAACGTGCAGCAGATCCAAGCCTCTCTCGCTGCTTGTGTTGCCATTCTCGGTGATGGATCCGTCGTGACCTGGGGTGATTCTGCCCATGGTGGTGACAGTAGTGCCGTGCAGGATCAGCTGAAGAACGTGCAGCAGATCCAAGCCTCTCTCGCTGCTTGTGTTGCCATTCTTGGCGATGGATCCGTCGTGACCTGGGGTGATTCTGCCTGTGGTGGTGACAGTAGTGCCGTGCAGGATCAGCTGAAGAACGTGCAGCAGATCCAAGCCTCGTCCAATGCTTTTGCTGCCGTTCTTGGAGATGGATCTGTCGTGACCTGGGGTGTTGCCGGCTGCGGCGCTGACAGT